CTCCGTGTCGCCTCTCAAATAAGCAGTCTCGCTTGTAAAGGCGCATGCAGGACTTCCCAAGTTGCCTACGAAATCATAACGCTGTCGTATTTCACGCTTAGGTCTAATTGCTGTTTCAAAGCATGCGCTCTTCCTAACAGAACAAAATAGTACAGTCCCCCAGTAACTTATGTTACGGGAAGTGATGGGTAATTTGAACACTGAATAGGGACAGACCCCACCCATTTTTGAAGACGCTGGGCCCCTGTAATCCGATCCGATCCATGGTATATTGCCGGGCACATCTCGCGGGACAGATTCGCCGTTTATTATTTTATCGCGCGCGAAAACAAACTGTCAATCACGTCACAGACAAGTATTAAGGGGAAATGGTAATGAATTTTGTGAAGGCTCGTGAATGGACGTGAGTTTATGTTATCAGCGATAACAACAAAAAACGCTACGGGGAATGAATTAAAGGGAATGGATGATGCCTGTAAAAAGTGGACTAGTTATAATTTCGATTTTAAAATAGGAACCTTCCGTAATTTTCAGTATCAATGAAATGTGTTTCTGGTTTACAAGCGGGACTAACCCCTTTATTCGTAAAGATTCTGAGGGTTTTTTTGCATTCGTGTCTTTTACAATTGTTTTTGCTGATGAATCTAAGGCTGCATCCGAATCTCTTGTCTAGAGCTACGTCTAGGTCTTTGCTCCATTGGAAATGTGTGGAGAAGCGCCGACAATAGACCTAGCCGTAGCTCTGTAATCCCGTTTCGGACGCGGCCTTATTCTCCCAGCCTTGAATACTGTCAAGAAAATCGCGGACTTCCTCGTTTGATTGGGTTCAAAATGGTGCCGAAGTAAGCTGAGATTTCCGTGTCTGTGGAGATAAGTCAACGCGGAATGTGTGGGAAACAGCTGTGAATGCAACTAGAACGACCCATGCCATTTTTAGAAATGTTCTGAACGAAGGTTTGGAGTAGAAACTCACCGTCGCAATTGTAAATTCTTCAGCGCTCACTCCTCGCCAGTTTCCATTCGATGGGAGGTGACAGGCACAGACGCCCGAATGTTCCCGACGCTTTTTCTGTCGATCTATATACATCGGCAATCGATGCGTCATTGCTTCTGCTTTGGGGTTTGGGGAGTCGGTGTCCTTTCTCCACTTACCAAAGACGAGTGGACTAAGGTATGAGGCATACCTTGGTCCACTCGTCTTTGGTAAGTTTCTTGCTTTGTGACCGTCTTTGTTTGATCTTACTGTGGGCCTCCCGACTTAATTTTGGCCAATGTTTTGTTGAAAGACGACAATACTTCTGTTTTACATTGAGAGGCGTTTACCATAAACTCTTGCAGGAGTATGTCAAGTGAGCGCTGCTGTGCGGGCTCACATCCGAGCTGAAATCAGCGAATCTCCCCTTGTGTTTTCGAGTTCGAAGCTGTACCTTTAAGGGTTCTCGGGACGGAATATTTGGACAATCACTTTCAATAACAGGCAATCAGTGGGCTGCGGAAGAGATCGAGGGAAAAAAAACCCGCGCCAGTCGCTAATCGTACGGCCATTAGTCATGTTTGTCGATTGCCTTCCGACCATCAATAATAATTCACCATGCAGGTTTTGTTTCTTTTAATTGTTTAAACAACTCGCTGCGTTTGTTTAATCACTGATTAAAAAAGGGAGAAAGGAGGTTAAACTGTGCGACAACTCGGACAAGATTGACTTGTGAGTGGAAAAGTCAAACAATAAACAGCGATTCAATCTTAAGCCACAGTGTACAATCTTTGTTATAAAAAGGGTTTCTTTGAATAAGCGACCCATTCCACGATCAACTTTGGTTCCGACAATAAATCTCTCTCAGCGCGAATGCGTGAATCGCGTACACTTAACGGTTTTGTACTTTTTACAGGCCAAAAGGGAAAACCAGTCAGACAGATTTTTTCAACGAAAAAAAAAGTCAAAGATGCTTACAAACCGTTTTGGTAGTTTTTGTGTAGTGGAACTTTGAAAAGGTAGGGTGTACTTTTTAAGGGAAATATCTTTGTCGCTTGAAAGAGTCCCAATCTAACCACATTGGCAACAAGTGTTATTGTACGTCGTTCACTGAACTGTTCGTCAAAGCATTTTAAGAACGGCATCCCCACTTGCGCTCTCTTTGGAAGTCATCCGAGTGATGACTTCCACACACTGCAGGTCAGTATTTGAATTTCATGGGCCGAAAAAGCTTTGCGTGTCTTAACCCTAACCCTCCTCAGTCCTCCAACAGGTGAAGGATTGAGGAGGGTTAGGGTTAAGCTTCAATTTTTTGCTCTTGCGTGGACAGTCCGTGGTCTCCATGGTATGCTATCCCAAAAGGGAACTTGTTGTCAACACGATTTGCGAGCTGGTTTTTTCCGTGAAAAAAAGGAAGAAACGGAGTGCTAAAATGTTCACTTCTGCATCGCATTGGGTTCATCTTTTATCTTCTCCTGACTGGCCAAAATCCTCATTACTTTCAAAAGGGATCATATCTGGAAGAAAATCTCTCCCCGAATCATTGGAGTACTCACAGAATTGAACAGTTTTGCATAGAAGCTGAGAGATAGCGAAATACGCTCTTATTTTATGTGTCTTAAGTACCCGAGAGAGTTTTTTTTTTAATCGAGGAAACTACTTAAAAGTACTTTTCCCTGATTTTTCCTTTTAATGAGATATTTTTTATCATTGTCGTCAATGATAGTTTATTTTCTGGTTATCAATCCCAAGCTATGGGACACCGCTGTGAGTTATAGCGCCCTCTCGCACTGTTCCCGCCCTCTATCCAAATAAATCACCCCCCTTCGTGCCAGAGTAAAGCCGCACACGTCATGTACTCAGGGGCTGCCGCGGTGACTTGATCCATTATTTAGAAATTTGTGCCCGGCCGGGCTCACCGTTAATTGTTTGTATGCACGATGGATGTATACACAAGATTAGTGGACCTCCATCATTATGTTTGTGGATATAAGTCTAATGCGCCCCCTGGGTCAACCTCACTGGAAACCTTTTCTTCAAAACCTCGTATACCCTCTTCGCCTGGTGCTTGCTCCGGGGTGAAAACCGCACCGAGCCGTGACTCGACTCTATCTCCCGGCGGGGCTCCGCCGTGGAATAACATAACACTCGCCCTGCTATTAAGGCTATGGGGACCGTTTACCGGAATCAAGAGATAGTTGTCGAGACCGGGGGAAATCCGCAGAAAAGTAAGCCCAAAGTATTTGTTGACATATGGTCCGCCTGCAAATTACTTATCTCAGTGTGAATTCCCCCGGGCCCGCGCGTCAGTCTTCCGCGGACGCAGCGTGACAGCTCGGTTGGTCGGACGTCCGGCCAATCGGGCGGCCGAACTGACGGCAGCTCTCGGGCGAGCGCAGGATAAAAGGTGGACAGCGATTGGTCCGGTAGGTGTGGGGGGGGGACATCGGTCAATCTCACGTCAAGTTCGTGCAACGGTAGTGGTGGTGGCGGTGGATGGGCCGGGGACCAGTCACCTTGTCAAAATAGCCTTGAAGGAGGAGGACCACCCAATCCGTTTTGGCAGCTCTCCTGCTCTGCGTCAAAGAAACTCCTCCACTTTTCCACCTTGGCTTCCTCTAAATAAAGACACCCCAAACAAGGATTGAGTGTCAGATAAAGATCCCTGTCGTTTACACGAACATTCCACACTCTCGCAGTAAACAAGAATGGCTTATTTTAGAAGAGGAAAATACGGTGTTCTCGGGACTGTCTTTCACAGAACTTTCTCCTCTCCTTCCATTTTCTTGCGTGAAGTTTAAGACCGTTCGTTCCACAAATTAATTGGGTTATTTATTTGGCTTGGTCGAGGCTGACATGCACCTTTTCACTCATTAACTCCGACCTAAGTGGCTGTTAATCATCGCTTTTTACAGCCAGTACTCTGTTCTCCAGCCAGAATAACAATAACGCGGGTTGAACCGCTGTCCTGTCCAAACATTACAGTTGGGGGTGCGGTTTGAGGTGTGCGGAGGTCCCCGAAGTCAATGACTTTTTTGGCCGAAGTGCACTTGATCGTAATCCGGTGCTGTAACAACAAAAGCCAAGTACTGTCACTCGCTGGTTGAAGAGGCTTCATTCACTTTCCTAATGACCAGTACGAGTACTGAAATGACTGGTATATGACAAGACATAACCAGTCTCAACATTATATCAAATGATATTCTGTCAATGTTGCCTTTAGGATTTCGATCGTCATATAATTTTATGTCGTTTTTTTAAGTTAACGCAGTCTGTCTTAAAGTTAAAGCTTGAACTTCAAGTTTGAATTCGTTTTTCCTAATTCAAAGTTTTACATAACAAGCTCATGAGACATCGATCAAACTTGAAAACGTTGCAATTTCATTCTATACTTATTACGAAGTTCGTATTACAAATTCAGTCGCGTCGGCGTGGCGCAGCCTGCGCTCTAAATATTCTCTGAAGACGTTCATTAGATTCCCCCACCATTTAGCCTTTAATATGGTGGAGTTATTGGGTAAAAATGTACAGCACAACCCAGCACTCCAAGCAATGAACAAAGTTTTATACTTGTGTGAAGACAGACCCTTGAAGAATACCGTGAACTTGTGCTCTCACCCGGCCTTATGCAAAATCAACCATGAGAGACGTTCGTGACACCACAGAACTAATAGTGGAATCCAAGTGTGGTTTAGACTTGTCACAGACATCAACTACTCGTTTTTGACAGATTATAACTTGACACGCATGACGGGCAGGTCTGCAGCGCTGAGCGAAAGCCCAACCCGTCCGCGGGCCCGGGTAGGTATGTGCTTTGGCAAATCAATTAGATTGAATTGCTACCACTTAGGCCGCAATTCAGACAATTGGATAAGGTGGGCGATAATCCAACGGTTGGGGGACACCCCGGGGCCAGCCCCCCTGTCCACCAATCACTCCAAGAAGGAGAGGGTTTATCTCTCAACGTTGCACCGGCTCCCTCGCCTTGTGTGGTTTTGGGACTTGATCCTGTCTTCATCATGGGGGCTGTAGCTGGCTCAGGGGTGCATTGTTTAACGGAGGTGCAGTTGCTTAACGACACGCAGCCAATGAGCGGCCGCGTCCCTGCTTAATTGCACCGATCACCCTCCCCCCTGCGATCGCTAACTTAACTCTCACCGGGCTGTCACTCTCACTCAGGGCCCGTCAATTTGTTCAATGATTAGCTTCAAACAGACCCGGAGTAGTCAGTAAATGGACCACGCGTGAAAGCCGTAGGAATTGCGACGGTGGTCTCATTACCCCAAGAGGCAACGAGTTGTCTGCAGCGGCAGGATCGGGGAGGATCTCTCGTTGAGGTGGTTCAGTTTATCCTTAGATACCGAGCCTGAAACATCAGCAACCGCAATTTTATACCGCTGTCACTTTGCAATCATCTGGGACCCTCCCTCGGGACGAGTTGTGCGCACACACCGTACCGTGAAGACTAAGATACCGGGCCGTCATCAGCGCTGCCAGAAAGAGCCGAACACCATGGTCGGCTCGACAGCCTCCCGTGTCAACGGCTCGCTTACGCCCTTCACCATCCTGGACATTCTCGGTCGGCGGAGCAGTGACAACAGCCAGACGTCGGCCGTCGATTCGCCGGAGGACAAGCTGCCGGTGCCGAAGTTGCGTGAAAGGCGAGCGACGTCGGCAGAGAGGTCTGAGGGCCTCCGGATGAGGACTGTCCCCGTGCCCGAGCGGCTGGACGCGCTGTACCCTGCGTCGACGGTGCGGCAAGCGGAACAGATGTCCCGGGAGCATCTTGCTCATCAGCGTCGTCCACATCATCAACAGCAGCTTCAAATTCCAAGGGAGGAGTTGGCACGATGCCGATACACGGACAGGGTATTCATTGAAAGAGAGGAAGGGTTAGAGCATGACCCAGTTCTTTTCTCCCGCCATCATCGACACCTTGCAGAAAAGTCTTCGAGAGGGGAAGAAAATCAGCGACCGGAATCACGTCTAGTTGAGACAGGTAGGTCTTTCTAATCTAAAAGACTGGATTTAAAAAATCTGAAAATATGCAGAGCAATCAGATGGAATTCAAGCAGGAAAAGTGTAATTGTACAGATAGTAAATCAACAGTGAGCATGCAAGATCGATGCAAGACGGGCTAAAAGGGTATTTAGGCTACCTCTCGCTAAGAAATTTCAATTTGTTACAAGACTGATAAGACTGGAACCAGTTTGATTGTGGCTGTTTTGTTTTGTTTTTGAAGCATCTGTCACAAAACAACCTTTTCTAAAATTTTGTCCTTGTTATCAAACTGCTGTTTTCAATTCGAAAAGTTTATGTTTGAGAAATTTGGAGAACAGGAGGTTGCTACCTCAAAACCACAATAAATAATTCAAAAGGGCGTTTTAAATATCTGAAGATAAAACCAAAACGGTTTAAGAGCATCAAAATCTATCTTTATACCAGTCTAAGTCACAGTTTATCAGTAATACAATAATTCCTGTCCTGTTTAGCCAAATTGTCTCTAGCAACCAAAATTAGGATTTCAAAATAATGAAAGAGCTGGCATCCCTCATTATCCCGTACTAAAATTCACAGACTGACTTGTCTATATTCATCTGTTTGTGCTATAGTTGTTATCTCGATCAAATTTCATTTTAAATCCAAGATGGAGGCCTTATTTCAATGGGTACTTTTCAGCATTGCTGAAAGCAGCCAATATTTACATTTATTTACACAAAGTTGGACTACTGATGGTATGAGCCCCTTGCATATGACAGCTTTTCCGTGTCCAGTCCGGCTGTCTTCCTTCACAAACTCTAGTGCATGACATCCCACATCCGAATTTTACTGCCGTAAGAACGTGGATCCGTGCGGTTGGCCGACCAACTCAGTGGCCCGTCCCGGCCAAGAAAACATACCATGCCAGGCTTCTTATTGCCGTACCCGCTCCTGACGCTAGACCACCAAGAGTTCGAGTTTGTTTAACGGTTAAGAGCGTGCTCACGCTTCCCCGGGAGATTGTCAGCTTTGATTACAACTCATGTATTGGGACATTTTTTTCCCCTTTCTACCTTTTCTGACTCACCAGACGATCGAGTGATAGCTGAAAAATTGGAGGAAGAGGACGAGAAATCTCACCAGTCGCCCGCCCCGGCGTCGTCAGCGGGCTCGCAGAAGGAGGGACGTAAGAAGCGCTCGCGGGCCGCCTTCTCCCACGCGCAGGTCTTCGAGCTGGAGCGGCGCTTCGGCCACCAGCGCTACCTGTCTGGCCCCGAGCGGGCCGACCTGGCCGCTGCCCTCAAGCTCACCGAGCAGCAGGTCAAGATCTGGTTCCAGAACCGGCGCTACAAGACCAAGAGGAAGCAGATGGCGGCCGACATGATGTCCTCCCTGCCCGCCAAGAAGGTGGCCGTCAAGGTGCTGTTCAGAGACCCCCACGGTCAGCCGCCGCTCTACCCGGAGAGCTCTTTGCCCCTGCCGACGTCTCCCGTCACATACCACGGACTTCTTGGCCAATTCGGCTGCCACGCGTACCCTCCTATGTGCAGCCACTCGCATTACCCGTTAAATGGCCTTTTGTTTGGCCAGTAAGCTAAAAGTGGCTTTGTAACTGTGTGGTCGTCAACTTTGCCTGTGACTGTTTGGCCGTCAAGTCGGCCTGTAACAAAAATTCGCCATTAAAAATGGATCAAATATGGGGCATATTATGAACTGGGCTTCGATGATTCTACTGTATATAATCCAAAATGACATGTATTTGACCATTTTCCCGCCGATGTAACTTAAATATACGTAAGGAAACAAAGACACTCGTTTAACATTTTGAAAATTTGGACCCATCATTTCGTCACTATTCCAAAGAGGCTTGGTAATTTTTCGTTTTTCTTATCAACTACGCATTTATTTCACAGAAAGTGCGAAAGCTCTTTCAAAGGAATTCTAACTGCGTTTAATGTTTTACTTAATGGAATTATTGGAATTGTGTTCGAATTCTGTCTGCATTTTTTTCAGGTATTGTTGTGTTTCGATAACCGAAACATCCTTTAATCGTTGAAGGTCTCCAAGTACTTTGTTTGGAGAAACAGTCGGACTCCAAAAGAAAATTTACACAAACTACCAAATAATTCGACGAATTATATTATAGTCGTGGTCACTGATAGTACTGTAAAGATTGTAAATTGATATATCGATATTGTCATGTATGAATAAAGTCTGTGAACCGTAGACATATCATATATAAACTTTTCTTGAACAGATGTGAAACAAGTGAATTGAAGTTCGTCTGGACAATTTGTCTTTTTGATGTGATTGGGTCATGGTTAATATACGGAGCGATTAGTTGATTCTGTGGCGGCACTCAAGAAAATAAATACTCCCTCTCTGCAGCGGATAATTTATTGGCGACGGTATACACAGGGACCGCCGAAAGTGCCGAGCCCCCGCTTGCGTGTATTATGGCGTAGGCGCGAGAGGGTCCGCTCCGTCCGACCGTGACACAAGCCAGGCACGGCTCGACTTGAACTCGCACTTAACACTTCTCCGGCGGAATTGACGGGGCGGATTGTTTATTGGGCAGTGAAGTACAGCCCCGAAGTTGAGTTATTTTGCCGAAAATGTGGGCCCAAATGGTCCACCCAGCTTGCATACCGGGCCGTTGTTGGAACCCACATTGGCACGGCGACTCACGCCCTGGCAAGTTGTCCACTGGAAGGCAGCACTTTCATTACAACGTTTGGAGGCATTTACAGACTAACCTGAAATGAAAAGCGTCCAGAACGATACACGAATAAACTTCAGGCAAAGTAACGGAAACGAGTAGCCAAGACATCACGGGTAATGGCGGGCCTTGGTCGGTATTTTGCAGTAAATACTTCAGTACTTTAATGACGGAGTCATAACCCATACGATAAAATTCGAACTCTTAAGAAATCAGTTTTCCTATGCGGCCTCATCCTTCAGACGTGTAGTTTTCGTTCTTGGAATTAGTCCACAAATTGGAAATACATTCAATGGGTCAGTCGGTTAATGGAACCAGTAATGTCTCTGCAGCTGAAGTTGGATCTGAAAAGTTGTGAAAGAAGGGAGTTTCACCCATTCAAACATGTTAGACGAAACAGTTCCACGTGATATTTTGCTCAGTCCGGTCTTAACGCAAGGTAAAGTATATAAATTGTTCTTAGGAATAATCAAAATGCCAACCGCTCCATCACGCTTTATTCTACATATATATACATAACATAATGGGGGTGCGTTTGAAAGAATGTCACAACCGCAGCGGTGGTTATCCCTGAGGTTGACAGTGTCCTTGCATCGTTAACTTCTCGTGTCTTCTTCCGTTGTTTCTTTAAACTCACAAGATACAGTGGGGTTTTTTTCTGGAAACCTTCGGTATATATCACAACCAGAAAGCGAGAAGCAATGCAAAATGAAAAGTGGGCCTATCACGTCAATAGTGAAACGAATTGCTCACGAAGAAACAAACTCATCAGATGTGTCGACAAAATTATCATTTTTGCTCTTTTCATTGAGGATTTTTTTCAAGGAAATTACAACATCAGGGGGCTAGACCTACCGATGTCGATTTAGTGGTCAAAACTCGAGCGACTTTCTCCACGGTTCGGAAAGATCAAGCCGCTTGTCAACACCCGATAATGTGCTGATCGTCCCCTTGATGAATAATCCAATTTGTATTGGTCCAATTGGAAATCCTCCGTGTTTATCTTTAGTATTTCCGCAGGCAGCGATATGCGTCAAATTAATTACCGTTGCCCATTAACTTGGAGAAACAAAGACAGCCACAGAGTGCGCGAAATGTGGGCTAAGTGATATCACTTTAATTAATTTGTTAGGCTAATGGCTAATTTACATGAAATGTTCTTTACATGGATCGTGGGGCGTATGAGGTAGCCTGGAAAGTGGCATGCTGTAATGTAGTTTTGATTGTCGGATTTTTTTTTCCTTTTTCTTTTATTAATTGAATTTTGCGGCTTGGTACGGGTCTGGCGTAGCACAATGCCCGTACAGGAAGGATCATGGCCCGCTGCCCATTCCTGCAGTGTGTTGTTTTAGCAGTTAGCCCCAGCAAACACATTAGCGCAGTAAATATTTGCACCGCGCTTACGGTGTTGGCACACGGGTGAATGGCGCGTCATTTACCCGGCGCGGCAGTCGGGCCGTAATCCCCTCTCATCCCAGGGACTTCCCAAGAATACGCCCAGTTGTGTGCCGACTGCATTTTGGGACTCAAAACCCCCCTCTTTCAGAGCTGTGTGCTCAAGAACTTTTCCCATTCTGCGCCGAGTTTTTCCCCTCCCCCTCCCCCTATGTCGTTTTCTTTGTGGCTTTTGTGCCTCTTGTATTATTCTGTTTGTACTTCCTGGGCTTAAGAAGTACTTGCTAAGTTGTGTACAGAAATACTTCCAGGATTTTTCTTCCCAAACCATTCAGTTAGATGCAAAAATATGCCGAGCTTGTTTGACTCGTCTGGGCTGATACCCAATTCAAACTGAATTAGTTGAAAGCAGCATTAAAAGGGCCTTTTCGATTCTGAAATGGCACACTCGTATCAATCTGTTGTGGATGAAGCGAGAAATTGTGCTTAATCGAAGAAATGGGCTCGTCTGTTTGTTTGTTTTTTTTCCAACTTTTTAAACAAGGGGATTTTTCAAAATCAAACAGCATTATACTTCCTTTAAGGTCGAATCAACCTCGACCGTTACCTTAAATTTAAACCTCGAGAATTATTTCAACTTTGCACCTGGTCATCTATTCACTTGTTTATATTTGAATTTTGAGTGGGGTGCTTTGTATAACCTTTTCTTCTTTAGTCAAGCACAAAAAAATGCGATAACATCTTTATAACAGCCAAGCTAATAAGTTTCTTCGGTTATGGTTGCTATGGTTTCGCGAACACTTTCTCTCCCCAGGCCTTTAAAGGAGAAAAAAAATATGTCATGTCCGGGGCAGCGTTGCGTCGCTCCAAGCGACGACCTCTTAGGCGAAGACAAGTGATGAAATAAATCCCGGTCGCTCTCTTTTCGTATAAATATATTTACCTCTCTGGCCATTACACGCTGCAAGCGCCCAGCAAAGTGGTCTGAAACTTGCCACTCTTTACACAATCCATTAAGCCGTTCAAACACAGACCGATGAAAAAAAAAATACAGACATATCATGGGTATGGGGGAATCTGTCACACATGCTATGCAGCAATGTGCTTTTTTTTCTTGAGAGCTCTGTCTACTAAACGCTATCTCTCACTTAAAGTCGACAGACGCAAACACTTGACTCGAAACGCTGTGTGATGGCACAGTAAGTCCCCTCTTTTGAAAACCCGTTTTAGCCACACACGTAGCGGCCGTTTTTGCTGGCTGATGGGTACTCTTCGATATTTTCAAGCTGAGATAACCGATTTCCTTTTTCGACGTTAAAGTTGAGTTTTGCAAGTGATAGAGAACAGAGTGTTTGATAGAGGACAAAACGCAAATCCGGGAACCTTTTGGATCACTAATTTTTAAGGGGTTATAGCGGCATACGTATATATTTAGCACGAAATTATTTATTTAGCGCGTCATTTTGCTGTGTTAACGAGAACATTATTATGTTTATCAATCTCTTGTTGAAAAGTTTCGTCTGATCAAAGGAAAGACGAATGCTCCCATCAATGAAATCATTTTTTTTTCTGAAAGAGAGAAAGTTTGCAGTCGTCAAGGTGATACTCTACGCAAAGTTTTACCCTTATCAAAACTGGATTAACTCTTGTGAAAGTCTGCTAAAAAAAAATTGTTCCAATTTTACCCGACTGAATCACTAATTGGTACACTCTCATTCACTGACCATTTCACAACGATGCTCAATTTCTGAACCAATTCTTTTTTACATTGCTTTATTGTTTAATAATTACCGATGTTTTTTCGGGAATTCTGAATTCCCTTGAAAGTGCAGTTAAAAGTAAAATAATTATGATATACATTGCGCATGCATGGTCAAGCTGGCATCTCGTAGGGCACCAGTCAAAAAGTGGTGTCTGGATCGACAGACGGGCTGACCGACAGGTCTGCGCTCTTTTGGTGTTTTTGCTCACACACTTGTAGTCTCTGGGTGGCCGTCTTTCCCTTATACATGTCACTCTGCCCTCCCACTCACCGGGGATATAAGAGGGCCTTGTCGCCCCTCATTCCAAAACACCGGGGATGGTGTTATCACAAGAGGGTACCGACCAGGCAGACGGAAGGTCCCCCGGCGTTTGAGCCGTTATCAAGTACCCCTGTGTCCTCGTGAAATCGTTTCCCTTCAAATCTAGCAACTCCCTGGCACGGCAGAAACCCGGCTTTTTGTGGAATTTTTCCTAGTTATTTTCTTAGCGCGCTGTCAGTGTCCCCAACACAGCCCCCTTCTAAACAAATATAAACACATACAATATTAGGCGCTAAATTGCGTGGGACAGGTCGAATGAAAAATGGGTCATTTTCCCCCCAGATGAGATGTGGAGTGTGACTTGATTGCATCCCTAGTACTGCCACATTCTGGGTGCTGAGAGGAAACGTAAGGAGGATAGTAATGGAACTGTTCAGAAAAGTCCAAAGCGCTTGTGGCTCCTGGATTTTGTTTGTTGTATTTTTGTGTGTTTGCTGTTCATTGTTGTTTGTTTGACTGCTGCTGCTGCTGCTGTTGTTGTTTTCGTTGTCGTCGTCGTCGTCGTTGTTGTCGTCGTTTTTGCTATTGTTGAAACGGTCAACAAATTCGGCAACATTAAAATCAGATGATAAACTTTACTTCACTGCAAATTATAGAATATTTCACCACCAATTATGAAACTTGTAACTTACAGGTTTTTAGTCTTCTGTGTTATCACAGAGCAAGGAAACTGTGATATGAGTTGGAATTTCGTCGTCTAGTGGAAGGAACTTGCTCTGCGATATGAGTTGGTATTTCGTCATCTAGTGGAAGTGATTCACTTCATAATGTTTGACTGATGTAAGATCTTACTTAGCGTTCCACGAAAAGTTTTGGCGTGTATAAACGTCAAATCTGCCCACCGGTAAATGACTGCCGGCAGCTTTGGATGTTCAACTACACTGTGTTGGTGAAAATACAAAATTTACATTGTTTATTTTGATTACCATAACATTTTCAAATTTGTTTTGGGAAAAACCCAAGAGACAGCCACACTTTTTTGCACGTCATGAACCGCATCGGAGGGTGTTAATTGCTTGCTCCATTTC